TGTTGACCAGGATGGTCTCGATCTCTTGACCTCGTGATCCACCTGCCTTGGCCTCCCAAAGTGCTGGGATTACAGGCTTGAGCCACCGCGCCTGGCCCGATTTTTTTTTTTTTTAAATAATTTAAGTAAGAGGGTAAGATTTTTAAAGACAGTTTTGACTGTGAGCTCTTGAAGGGCTACAATCCTGCCTTAACCCCAGGGCCTAGCATGTTGCAGCTGTTCAATAAATACAAGTAATAGGAGTGAAGTAAACAAATGAATGAAAGGCCATTCTAGAATTAAGTAACAACAACAAAAAGGATCAGAGGCTGAATGCACAAGGCACAAGAACAACAAAAAGATCAGAGCTGGAGGGATATGAACACACATATTTAGAGAATAAGCATCAAGTAACTGGTCATGATTCTCTTTACATTTGGCTCCTACATCTCCCATCTTTAAGAAAATTATCTCAGCCTGGTGCAGTATCTCATGCCTGAAATCCCAGCACTTTAGAAGGCCGAGGTGGTAGAATCACTTGAGCCTAGGAGTTCGAGACCAGCTAGGGCAATATAGTGGGACTCCATCTCACAAAAAATTTAAAATTTAGCCAAGGAAGATAGCATAAGCCTGCAGTCCCAGCTAATCCAGAGACTGGCCCGAAGTAAGAGAATCATTTGAGCCCAGGAGGTTGAGTCTACAGTGAACCATGATTGCACTGTGCTCCAGTCTGGGCAACAGAGCAAGACCCTATCTAAAAAAAGAAGAAAAGAAAATTCTCTCTTGACAGCACCCCATACTCTTCCAGCTTTTATCTCATTTCTCTGTTCCCTTTAAAAAAAAATAACAACTCCACTGAGATATAATTCATACACCACACATGTCATCCATTTAAGTTTAAATTCAGAGCTAGGCACAGTGGCTCATGCCTGTAATCTAAGCACTTTGGGAGGCCAAGGCAGGAGGATCACTTGAGCTCAGGAGTTTGAGACGAGCCTGGGCAACATAGCAAGAGCCCGTCTCTACAAAAAAAAATTTTTTTTTAATTAGCTGGGCATGTGGCACTGCAATCCCAGCTACTTAGGAGGCTGTGGCAGGAGGATCCCTTGAGCCCAGAGTTTGAGGCTTCAGTTAAGCTATGATTGTGCCACTGCACTCCAGCCTGGGCAACAGAGTGAGACCCTGTCTCTAAATAAATAAAGCACAAATTCAGTGGTACTTAGATCGCAGAGTTGTGTAACCATAACCACAATCAATTTTAGAACATTTCATTATCCCAAAAAGAAACACAATACCCATTACCAGTCACTCCCCATTTCCCCACCCAGCCCTAGGCAACTACTCATCAACTTTCGGTCTCTATGGATTTCCATATTCTGGGCATTTCCTGTAAATGGAATCATACAACATGTAGTCTCTTATAACTGGCTTCTTTCATGAGCATAATGTTTTAAAGGTTCATCCACTTTTAGCATGTATCAGTATTCCATTTCTTTTTTTTTCCCCCAGGGCTTTTTTTTTTTGGAGACAGAGTCTGGCTCTGTTGCACAAGCTGGAATATATAGCGGTGTGAACCTGGCTCACTGCAGCCTCCATCTCCCAGGCTCAAGCAATCCTCCCACCTCAGCCTTCCGAGTAGCTAGGGCTACAGGTGTGTCGCACACCATGCCTGGCTAATTTTTGTAGTTTTTATAGCTCCTGGGCTCAAGAAATCCATCCACCTCAGGCTCCCAAAGTGCTGGGATTATAGGCATGAGAAACCAGACTCAGCCTAGTACCCCATTCCTTATTATTGTTGAATATTTCATTGTATGGGCACACAGTATATTTTACATATCCATTCATCCTAAAGGTTGAATATATTCTAAAGGTTGATGGACCTTTAGGTTGTTTCCACTTTGGACTATTATGAATAATGCTGCCATGAACATTTTTGTAGAAGTCTTTGTGTGAACTTATGTTTCCATTTCTCTTAGGCATGTATCTAAAAGTGGAATTCCCGGGTCTTTGCTTAACCTTTTGAGGACCAGCAGCTATACCATTTTACATTCCCATCAGCTGTGTATGAAGACTCCAGTTACTCCATATATTTATTCTCTCTTTCCTTCCTTCCTTCCTTCTTTCCTTCCTTCCTTTCCTCTTTCTCTTTCTCTCTTTCTTTCTTTGACAGTCTTGCTCTCTCACCCAGAATGAAGACAGTTGTGGAATCAACTGAAGCCTTCACTTCCTAGGCTCAAATAGTCCTCCTGTCTTAGCCTCTCAAGTATTAATAGCTAGGACTACAGGTGTGTGCCACCACACCAGCTAATTTTTGTACAGATGGGGTTTCATCATGTTGCCTAGACTGCTCTCAAACTCGTGGGCAACATGGTGCCCAGGAGTTATTTGTCGTTTCGATGATCTTTTTGATTATTTTCTTTTTTATTATCTGTCTTTTTGATTATAAACAGCCTAGTGGGTATGAAGTGGTATCTCATTGTGGCTTTATTTTACATTTACTTGATGACTAATGATGTTAAGCATCTTTCCATAGAGCCTGTGGATAAATATCTATTCAGACCTTTTGCCTACTTTCTACTTGGGTTCTGCTCTACATCTTAATCAAAGTTTTTAAAAGATTAGTGTATATATGCCATCTATGCTTCCTTACCTTTTTTCACTCAACCTATTCCGATCTTGCTTTTGCTCCCCATTCCTCTGAAATTGCTTGTCAAAGTCATCAACCACCTTGACACTAACAAATTCAAAGACTATGCTTCAGTCGTATAATGCTTCCAGCATTATAATGTTACGATTTGCATACTTGACTTTTTTTTTTTTTTTTGAGACATGGTCTTGCTGAGTTGCTTCGGCTGCAATGCAGTGGTGTGATCACAGCTCCCCGTAGCCT